TTTCTCAGGAGCACAGTAAGCACATCAGGCTAAAAACAAACAAACCAAAATTTAATTTTTGAGGTTTTAGCTTTGGCAAAAAAGGGGATATGATTATCTTTGAATAGGAGAACAAAAGAAGATATATCTCTCATACCCGTAAATTGTAATATAGCAATGTTCCATCAAGGGCCAATGTGTGAAAGCCAAATCCAATTTGGAAGTCGTTAGGAAATGGAAAACCATCATCACTCAAATCAAGTACTCCATTCTTAGAAAAAGTCGCAGCTCTCACAAGCTAAAAATACAAATGGATAATGAATAGGTTTCCTTTTTCAGAAGAGTCATTCCTACTTTCCTTGCTTCTGTCTAATATATCAAGTGGGATTAATGGATCTCACATTACAGTGGTGCCCCGCAAGACGAATGCCTCGCAAGACGAAAAACTCGCTAGACGAAAGAGTTTTGCGTTTTTTGAGCTGCTTCGCAAGACGAATTTCCCTATGGGCTTACTTCGCAAGACGAAAACGTCTTGCAAGTTTGTTTCCTTTTTCGTAAAACCGTTAATACCCAAGGTGCATTGCTTGAAGAGGTGCAGTTGCGACTTGACTTCGAGGAGCAACTCATAGCACATGGTGTGGTAGCCTTTTTTGAGGTTTTTGAAGACTTTGGTGATTTTTGAAGCTTTTCCAAAACTTCTTTTGCAGCCATTTGGTAAGTTAAACTTTTAAAACTTTTTTGGGGGGTTTTGGATTTTGGGTTGGGGTGTTTGGAATTCAAGGACTTGGTGTTGGGGAGAGGTTTGCAAGAATCTGGAAGCTTGTGTGTTTTTTTCTGCATTTTTATGATTTTTTGTGACCATTGGGCCACTCTGCTGTTTTTTTTTTAAAAAAATCTGGATTTGAATTTCTGTGTGGTGGGTGGCTGGGGGAACAGTTGAGGAGGGGTTTGCAAGAATCTGGAAGCTTGTGTGGTTTTTTCTGAATTTTTATGATTTTCTGTGACCATTGGGCCACTCTGCTGTTTTTTAAAAAAAATTCTGGATTTGAATTTCTGTGTGGTGGCTGTGACTTTAAAGAGCACTTAATAAATTCTTGCTGTACCAAATTTGGCTTTGTTTGGACTTTTTTTGACCATAGGAACGCATTAATTGAATTTCAATGCATTCCTATGGGATTTCGTGCTTCGCAAGACGAAAAATTCGCTAGACGAAAAAACTCGCAGAACGAATTAATTTCGTCTTGCGAGGCACCACTGTATGGGCTCCATGGGAATGTGGGGCTCACAGATCTTATTCTGGGAAGGTGTGAAAGTCTTCACTTTGCAAAGTGTTTTTTTTGGGGGGGTCTTAAATGCATTATATGAATAAAATACCATCATGATCAAACAATGTTGAGCTCTATAGATTAGTATCCAGTACCTAAGGAATCTGTAATTGGCAAATTACCTTCCAGTCTTCAGGACAATTTTTGCTGACACCAAGCATCTCAGAGATGGTAGGGGAAGACTCAAAAGAAGTTTTTACATTCTTCATGCACCCACGAAATGGAGGTGTCGATATATTAAAGCTGTTTCCACAAAGAAAGAAAAAATACCACATAGCCTTTAAATTTGCCATTATTGATTCCAAATGTCTCATTTCATGTACAAACTGCTTTCCACTTGTTATCTCCAGAGTAATTTAGTAAGTGCTGCTAAGAAATTGTGACTTGCCCTAGACCACTAATTAAATATCTTGGTTAGAAAAGGGTATCCCACTCTCAAATCTGCCACTCTATTCACTGGCCCCCACTATGCACATGAGAGCAGTATTGCAATGGCAGAATGACAAGTGCAAACTGGCATTAAACTTACGTGAAGCATATTTTCGTATCTACGTAGTAAGCTTTTGTGTTTGTGAACTGGGACTGGAGGTGCAAACTAAGGCCTTACAGTTCAACCCAGACCTGAGAAAGGACTATCTAGGTCTTTCAGTGAAAGGCTCCACTTTGTGTTAATCATGCCTGCACAAATGAAACCTACCAAGCTGAATACAGCCCAGCCGCCAAGTACTTGTAGCGTTCAAGGTGATTTGACAATGTTCACACTAGGCATCAAACACAGGAGAAACGTCAGACCACAACACCTGGAAGGTCACATCATTTAGCTCGGTGGACCCCAAGTTGTGCAGGCCTGACTTCCATCCATAAAACAACGCAACAATCTTAAGGAGTAATCTGTAGTGTAACTCACCGTTCTCTTATAGAGGCTGGGATTCCACCAAGGTAATATGAATTGAACGGAAACATACTTATATTAACTTGTTCTCTAGGCCTGCCAAAAGCAACTATTTGTGGGCCAATGAGTAAAAGAACCTGAAATGAATAAAACAATCAGATTTTAAACCAGCCTACAAAGAAACAAGGGAATATATATATATATATTTCATATTATCACAACTTGTTTTTAAAACAAATAATGTTTCAGAAGTTAATATCCATTGAGTAGTTAAATAACTAGTAAAAGTGAGAAAACTAAGTTCTTTGAAGGAAAAAAAGACATAACACCTAGAAGATGCTAAGCAGAAATGTTAACTTTTGTAAATGGTGTGAATTTGCATCATTTATAACATCATTCATAAGTGATTACATTGTTGGATATTCATTTATTTTACATTTTTTTAAAAAAACCTTACTATTTGATCCATTCCGTTGTTTATGACCACTTGGCTCTTTGCTTCTTTTGGAGGCTGTGAATCAACTTTATACCTGAGTACCAGCTGGCCTTTTTCAATCCTCAAACAAATGAACTTGTCCTGCAATTAAGAAATAATATGTCATGTAATATATTATAAAGAGTCATTTATTTGAATTAGGCATAATTAGCAGTACTCTGTGCAGTAATCCTGAAAATTTCAGCCTCAACATTTTAAAGAAAATGTGCATTACCAGTTCTAGTGGCTGAATGTACAGATGAATTTGAATCTGAGCCACATTTCAGAAATCCATAACTCGTCTTTATGCAGAACACAACAGCCTTACAACGTCAGCCTTACAATTAGCTGCATACGAGTTTCTGGATTGGCCAGAGCTGGTATGATTGCCATGGCAGGTTCCACAGCCTTATTATACATTTCTAGGTTAGGAGCTCAATATGTTGTACCACTAAAAAGCCCAAGAAAACACAGTCATTCCTTTGAGGACTTTGTTCTGCTTACTGCGGTTCCGTCCTACTATTACGTAAGTGGCCTACGTTAGAGAAAGCAGAAGGGCAACTCTGAAAGAAAATTTTATCGCTATGCCCTGAGGAATAATTCATCCTTTCAGTTGATTCACATCTACATTTTTTTTTACTCAAGCAGTATTTCCTTTGATCTGACACGTGCAAAACTTTTGCCTCAACTCTATTTATTTATAAAATGCATATAGCGTTTTTCTATATGAAGACAACACAAAGCAGTGAACACAGTAAATCACAGGCTGAATATTTAGGTTGGGGGTTGTTACAGTAATTTCTCCTAATCTTTCATTCAAAACATTTGACCTGCTAACCTCACTTCTTCAAGTCTTTTGACTGTGGGCAAAGTAATTGGGCATAAGAGTTCTTTCCACTTCTGCCATATGCCTGCTGGCATCAGAATTCCTTGCTGGAATAATACAAAGCTTTAAATGGATCAAGAATAGTCTTCTTTCAATTGATTAAGCTTATACCCTGGCCTGAAGAATTAGTTCACTAAGATTTCTCAATAATCATTGAAGTTACTCATCAATTTTTGCCACCAAGCAATATGAAACACTGTGTTTTACAAGACATGTGTAAAGCACATGCTTGTTAAGTATTTGTTCCTAATTACATTCAGGTTCTACAATTCAATTATCTTATCCATTCACTCTTAATTGTTATGCAAATATTATTTGTATGAAATCACTTTCTCCACATGAACAGCAATATTACCTGATTACTTGCAAAAAACACAATTCCATCATCTGTAGTAGTCTGAATAGTTTGCTCATATCGTCGAAAAGTGCTAGTTGGTGAAGTTACATCAACATGTGCATAACCTGTGCCTTCAAAATAAAGTCTGGAAGACTGTTCTTTATATCTGTAACAAAGAACGGGGGAAGTGAGAACTGCTGCATGTTCAGAATCTCAAGAAGTATGTTAAGCAAACATTCACAAAATTAGTATTTTTCAGTTTGAGATCATAAAAAGGGGAAGTTATATTTTAAAGCTTTTTTTAAAAAAATATTGTCACAATTATTTTAAAAAAGGCTGCTTTCTCCTGTTGGGACATAAACAAGAAAAATCTACACAGTGGATTTATCTTGCACGATCTCACAGCAAGCCCACACAGATGACCTTACTTCTCCAAGATGAGCATTCTCATCCTCTGACAGCTTAATCATTAGTATCAACCTACTAAGTGGAAAAGATTTTACAGAAAGAATGCCTGAGTTGTCTGTATGGGCTTCTTAAAAACTACATAGGACTTGGAACAGTTCAGCACACCTAATTGTTAAGGCTTGTTGAACACATGTTCAGCTTCCTTTGCTAATTCTGTTCCATGTGGATGCCATTACAATATGATAGAAAAGATATATCTTGAAGCCACAATTGCTAAACTTTGACTGGGATAAGGAGAGTGTGACAGTGTTAGAAACTGAGATATGTAAGCTAGGAGCTAAATAGTACCTTAAACCTAGGTTATGGGCACAACAACAGTTTAGGCGCCCTTTTTTTGTAACAAGAATACGATACTGAAAATGAATGAACTGCAGCTAAAATACTATGTTCGTTTTTCATATGGTCTAGTTTTTCCCCTGCCCACCCCCCTAATATTCTTAATACTTCTCCAGTCTTCAGAGAGTGGTTGGAAGTGGGGAGGCAGAAAAAGGTCCTCCTTTCCTTCTGCTCTGTAGTTTTAAATCTGAAATCTTAGGCAAAGAACCAAGCCCAGAGCTCAGAAACTGCTCACACCAATGAAATTTCCTGTCGCAAAATGCACCTAGAACAATGGGAGTTTTGAACACTGGTGATAGATTATTCTGTGGCGCAATGCATCAGTGCACCTGGCTGTTAACCAGAAGGCTGGTGGTTCGAGCCCACCCAGGGATGGCTGTGGGCAGGATTCTTGCATTCCAGGGGGTTGAACTAAATGACCCTCAGGGTCCCTTCCAACTCTATGATTCTGTGTATTATAAAATTCCAAATATACAGCACAGGGCATGTGGTAGGATTTTTTTATTTCTTTTACCTTCTGCATGGTTGTACTTCACTGGTATCAAGATTAAAACTCCTCTTGAAATTGTACAGGCTGATAACTCTCTCATTCAAGCTATCCAGTTCAATGCAGCCTTCATAAGGAGAGTAGTTTAGCGTACTGGGAAGCTGTAAAAGTAAAAACAGTCTTCAGTGAAATTCAGCACCGTAATTTTAATTAATTATTCAGATTGATGAATTCTGCTTTTCAATGCAAAATTTGGTTTGATTTTTTGAAACCCACCTAGGATATATATCTCATACTGACTAATAATAATAATAATAATAATAATTTATACCCCGCCCAACTGGCTGGATTTCCCCAGCCACTCTTGGCAGCTCCCAGCAGAATATTAATAATAACAATAAGTTATGGGTTGTTATTGCTTAAGAAGTTATTGCTTAGGTCCTTTTTGTGAAGCAAGTATGAAATGAAAGACTAATCTGGAGTATCAGCACTTGATTTACAATACACGCACACACAAAATATTTCCATAAGTTTTAAACACATTACTATAAAATCTGACGGATATCCTCCAACATAGAAGACCACATTGTCAGGATCCAGGTTGAGAAGAGTATGGCTGTTTCCACTGCTGTCATCAAAAGGCCCAAAGCTTGATGGTGAAGGAGAGGTTGCACCTTGAATGTAATTCAGTTTTGCATACTGGTAAATCCTAAAAAAAAAAAGGGGGGGGGGGGACAAAATTTGAATATCTCAACCTAAGCCCACAAAAAGATCGGGAAGGATTTTTTTTATAGAGTCCCATACCTTTCAAACTGCACACGATCCAAAATTGCATCCTTGGTATCGCTTTCAAACACCGATTCAGGCACCCGTATTTCGGCTTCATCGCCCCCTAAACTATAGGCGCAAATGAGACGGCCATCGCGGACAGCCATGCCTATGTAGTCCTTGGAACTCTAAACATGAAAAAAAAATTCTTAATTAAGAAAGCTGGCTTCACATTTATTTATTTTTAAATAATCTTTAGAAGTATCAGTTGTTTGTGACTGTTAGGCTGTGCACAGGGAGTACATTCCCCTCACCCAACCTTTTCTACCTATTTTGTGGTCCCAGTGAAAATTACCCTCCTAAAGCTGCCATTTGCCCCAAGATGGCAGCTGCCAACTGGTGTCATTTATAACTTGAAGCATAAACCAATTCTAGGCCAGTTAAAGTGGCACACCAACTCCAAGAAGTATTGGAACTATAGTTTTGAGCCTTCTGGTTATATTTTTATTTCTTACTTGCCTTTCCCCATGGGTTCCAGAAATTTAAAAATATAGTATTCAAACAAATTACAGTCACAAGAATTGAGAATATTTATCTCATGTGTCAAAAGAGTAAAATTGTGCATCTGCAATATATTATGTAAACTACATTATAAAGGTGTCAGATACATCTCTGTGGGAATGGAATTCCAAAACTTAAGGACTGCCACAGGGAATGCCCTCTCCAGGTCACAAAAACCCAAACTTCTGAGAGTGGCCAAATTACTTATAGGGCCCCTTCTGTTGATCTTAACATCCAAGAAGGTCCATAGGGAAATATTTGGCCAGGGAGGAATTATTCCCCAAGCCAAATTAGGCCTATCTGAGGCTTTTGCCTACCTCATAGCTATAGTCCCAACTTGCTAGTGGATAAGGCATTGTGTTGGATCTTTAGTCAAGGTAGAGGAGTGGGGGTTGGGAGTCCCATCCCCTGCTCCCAAGAATCAGGGTACCCCATTAAGGGAGTCCAGAGGAACATGTTTCTGTCCAGATGCCCAGGCAGGGAATGATGGGCCATAGCACCCCCACCCCAAATGAAGATTCTGGAGGAGTTGCCCCAATTTGATATACGTCATAGGGTGATCCTTCACCTAGGATTAACCCTACCAAATCCAGACAGGCTGGATGATTCAGAATACACACCCAATGCCTACTGACATCTGCAATCATTAAAGTCGTGGCCTGTTTAATCCTAAAATGCTTGTCTTGTGATTACTGCATCTTCCCGTGCCTTAGCCCCCACCAGCCGCAGCCTACTATGCCTGGGCCCACAAGCCACTTTCAGTTAATTGACTGTTAGATAGAATAGTCCGATGTCCATTCACATTTGCCGCCCCAAATTAAGTTAATAAGCCATGTCTGTGCATGTTTAAAAGATGTAACCGTCACTCCACTTTCAGCTAATATTATAGTCAAAAAGTGGAACACATTCACACAGTGGTACACAAACTACTTACATATGTGAGGTTCTAAGGTATAAGAATAAAATTATCCCTTTATTGTTTTTTAAATTCCTGAAATGTAATTTTAAATTATAACACAATGGGCCTTTATTTACAATTGGACTGCAAGCTTTCAAATTATCAATGGATTGCAAATTAAAAGCACATTTGCTTTTTAAGGCTAATTTGTGCGTGTATCTCACATAAAATAAAAATTGAAAAAATTGCCACCTAAAACTATATAAAATAAACAAATTGGCAGAACTGAATTCACATAGACTTTTTGTTTTGTTTGCTTTTTGTAGAGATACTCACTTTATCAAAGTAATTCAATTATTTGAACAGCTGCTCAGATATTTACAACCCATTGTCCATAATGATGGGTGAATAACATAATAAATATTAATAAAAATAATGGAGACAAGAAACGAATACTTACATCCTTGTCACCCAAGTACATGACAAACATGTTGGACGTCTGCCGCCGTGGGCTGTCCAATCGTGAGAGAGGCCTTTGCAGAAACAAAGAAAGAGAAGTATAGCCTTTCAAGTCATCAAGGTTATCTGGAGGCCGGACCTCAACCCCAGAACTGCCATTGAACCTCATGGGAACAGCAACCTATTAAAAATAAAAATGAATATGATTAGTTACAAACTCATATGGGAACCAAAACAGACATGCAATATTATTACAATTTTGACTTAAGTTCTGGGGAGCCATGCAACAGCTTTAATATATGTAAACAACTACAGTCCTATTCGGACATTTCATCCTCAGTTATCACTGTGTGGCTGGGAGAGTGCTCACTGGCCCACACCAGCTTTTGTATCCCCATTGGCTTCCCTCTGCCACCCATGTTTTTTGTGTGTGACTGGAGGGAGGAGCCTACCCTACATACACGGGCTCCCTATACAGTTTTTAGCCTATGTGACCAGGAACCTTATATATGTAGAACAGGCTCCTCCTTCAAACCTCCCCCCCTCCAAAGTATTCAAGAGGAAAGCAATATTTACATTCTGTGAAACAGAGGAGAAGCAGGCAACTGAAGCTCTGTTACTGTGGGCCTGTAGGATATGTTTGCACCATGTACCCATGGAAAATACTGGTTTTTCTTGTGACTTACATTGGTAAGCACAGGAACATTTTTAAGCATGTAAGTAATGGTTCTTACTCAATTAGTGAACAATATTAGCACTTAATTCTTGTACCCTCCTTCTCCGGGGCCATCTTGCCTGCTCCATAAGGGTAGAGTCCTATGAACATGGATTAGGGAACTGAGATAATGCCATTAAGCTCAAGCTTCCCTGTGTGATGCTTGCACATGATGAAGAGAGAGCTTTCTGATGCTTCCAGTCTGTTCAAAAGCAATTTCTCCCCATCATGACCCATGGGAGTTCAAAACAACAGGCCACAAATTAACAGGATACCCAAGCTGACACCCAGTTGCAGCAGCATCTTTGCCCCAGTGCTTTTGTGAACGGATTGCTTTTAATGACTGGGCTGGTGCCGTACTGTGTTTTTTAATTATAATTGTATGGATTAAACAGATTTTATATATGTATATAGCTTTACTTCTAACAATGTTTACTTTTTTATTATTGTTTTCCTATACTTTTAGTGGTTCTCATTTTAATATGTAAGCTGATTTGAATTCCATCAGGGAAAAAGGTGAGTAATAATAATAATAATAATAATAATAATGTCCAGTTGACTTTTCAGCATCAAACCTGTCCTGAGAAAATTGCTCTCTGGGCAGACCTAAAGAATAAATTATTTCTCTTTATTAAAGGTTTCACTAAATACACCTGGGTGACAATAATAACATACGTGAGCGTGGGCATGTAGCAACATTTTTGGGCGAACATTTGATGACAAGTAGCAAAAGAGGACAGAAAGAAGAAGCTATGGAAGATTCTGCCACAAGCCACATACCTTGTTAGCAGCATCTCTTGCTTGCTGGATGAGCTCTCTGATGCGGTTTATATTCTCTGATATGTTAGCTATTGGCATAAGTTGTTCATTGATGCGTGTAATCTTGTTAAACAGATCTGGGAGGATGTTTGTCAAGTTCTTTACTGTGGATAGATTTTTATTTTTTTTTAGTGACATGAGGGAAGCATTAAGTACTAAAATGCAAAATATGAGTCATGTAATCTGCAATTGCTGGAATACAGTGGTACCTCTTGTTATGTACTTAATTTGTTCCGGAGGTCCGTTCTTAACCTGAAACTGTTCTTAACCTGAAGCACCACTTTAGCTAATGGGGCCTCCAGCTGCTGCTGTGCCACCGCCGCATGATTTCTGTTCTCATCCTGAAGCAAAGTTCTTAACCCGAGGTACTATTTCTGGGTTAGCATAGTCTGTAACCTGAAGCGTATGTAACCTGAGGTACCACTGTATAATGGGGCACACTCAATTCATACCAGGGTAGTTTCCCGACAACCTATTTAATGTTTATCCTGCTGGTTTGCGGGGTAGTGGGGATGGTTGTACGACATTAAGTAAAGCAATTGTCATCCCTTGCTTTCCAGTACATTTTCCTTTCATTTCCCATCGTGCTCCTTACCTTAAAAAAAATATAAATGGAAGGAGCTTTGTTGCACATCTAATCCACTTTAACTGTATAACCTGAATTTGCC